CTTTTTACATTAAGAAGTTAAGGCGCCCAGGCATAACTCAATCCGTCCTGTTGCAGTTGGTCAACTCGTACATCTTACCTATCATTTGAACAAAGCAAGAACTACAGTTTTAGCAGAATAAAATAGTACCATCTTTTATTTCGTTGCCTTCTCGTCAGCTGCTTACATGGCAAAAAAATAAAAGATGGTACCATTTTATTCTGCTAAAACTGTAGTTCTTGCTTTGTTCAAATTCATTAAGGGGAATAAATGTATGAAATTACCTATTATTCTTTACTGTTCACCCTTATTCTTTCTTGGATTGCTTAAGAAAGACTATGTCATAATTCGTAGAACTCTGAAGACTGTCATTAGGGTGAGTGGTATCCCGTTTAGCAGTATCGCTGATATCATCATTGATAGGCATTTGATTTCATGCAACAAATTCGCTAAAGGAATTTTTTCAGACTGTGAGCAGCCACTTTAACCTCAGCTTTCGCCTTGTGTCTCCACAGGTAAAACAGAAAGCCTTTTCAGAAGACTTTATGCACGTACGTCTAGGTATAAAAATTCCACTATACCATATTTGTCACATACTTTATGTGATGAAAATAGTTTCAGGCATGAACTAACTAACCTTCTTTGCACTACTGAATAAACCATTTCCTTCACCCTTATAGACTCAAGCTTTATTGTTATTGTTCCTCTTATATCTACAATTCTCACAATTTTTGTTTTTACTTGTTTATTTCCTCAAAAGTATTAACATCATTTAAGCTGTGTTGTAACTGTTAATTTTCCCTTTCCCCTCACTTTACTATATTAGCAGAACATTAGATTCAATAATCTATAACATGCTAACATTTTCAAGCTAAACAGACAATACAGTTTCAAACATGCCCACTGTTATTATTATTATTGTATTTATTATTCTCATTTTGTACTCCGAATATTTTTGAATTCATATTGTAAATGTAGACAACTTCCTCCGGTTAATTTTCATTTAATTTTATATTTTGAGTAAATCAGATGCAATATTGTGACAAATGCTGAGAATCTCATTCGGTATTATAAGTACTGTTTTTGGAATAAAGTATGACTAAATGCGTATCCTGGATTCCACTGCTACTTATCATTCACCAATTAAATCCTAATTAAATATCCAGACATCATCGAAGCATTTGCACAAGAAACCGACATGTCATCTGAGACCGAGCACTTCGATCCAATCAATCGACGGGAAAATCTGAAATTCAATTTTAGAAAATAGTAGATTATTATTATTACTATAATTAGGAAGTTAGTTGAAATATCTGAATAAGTATGAATATTATAAATAGATTGTCCAAACAAATAGTCCATTGTAAAGCTTTCGAAATATGTATATATATATGACTGTGCAGTTTGATATTTGTGAGTCTTTAATTTACAACAATTTATTGGGAAACTAGAGTCAATGTTTAATTCTGACCCGCTGGTGGAAAGAAACTTCAACTCATTTGAGTTCTACAGTTCTGAAGTCAATTACTTCGAACTTGTTTGTCGCATGTTGAAATTTCGCTAGGAACATAGTGCTGATGGACATTTTCACTCGAAACAACAGTGAATTGAGAATTATACATAAATTCGCACTGATATATTAGCCAACAGAAGTAGCTAAACGTGGGTAGATAAACATTAATATTTTCTTCGTTTTATAATCAATTTCATTCTGGACCGAAATCATTCTAGTGGAGATAGGCAAGTTTGTTTTTAAATCATTTATCTGAATTACTAAGAAGCTGTCGATTATATAAAAATAAGTTGGATAAGAGTGAACAGAAGAACACTTCGTAAAAACTATCATCAGTACTCCCATTAAAGAAAACAAAACACCAAGCGATTTTAATTATTAGACATGTACAACTACAGCTGAATGCCACCTTATTCCATTGATGCATTTCATAATTTCCCGCCCATGGTCAATATTCCAACACGTTCTCAGTAGAAAAACCCTCTTCAACACCACATCTCCATTTCATCCTGTTCTCTGAAGTCACATCCACCCGGCTCCACTACCACCCACAGCTTCTCATCTCCTCACCCACCCACACGATCCATTCTGTGTCACATTCCAACACCAATCTCGTCGATTCACATTCCGGTTCCACTCGACAGACTGGCGCCGGGTATCGCTCAACCCCATACCTCAACGCTCATCCGATCCATGTCCACATCATCCTGCATATCTGTCGGACAATAGAATCTTCGCTGGTCCGTTCTCAGAGTTCCTTGCTGTTAGTCGTCTCCGGCCACCTGATCTTCAGCGTCGAGTCAGTTGTGTCAGCTGTCGATGAAATTCTGAAGCTTGTTCGAAATGGTTTCGAGACAATTCAGTCTCTGAACCACATAGAAGAGTTGACTTTACATCACTGTTGAAGATAGGGGTCTTGTTCTCAATTTTGATTGGAGCGGATATCCACACTCATTTCTTTTTTTTTATAATGATGATAGCTTTATTCCGAAACAGTACTTGCGATACAGAATGGAATTCTCAGCATTTTACTACAGTATTGCGTCCAGATAGTAAATTAACAATAAAATAAAATTCTACATAGATTAAGGGTAATCTTAGTCAGTTTTGACAACAACATATTAGCATGTCGGTAGCAAAGCCAGAATTAAACAGAGTGTTTGAAGGTGCTAGAAAAGTAGGCTCTAGCATATTTACTGGCGTAAGCAGAAGAAAGAAACAAAGCTGCACATAACGGAAAAAGAGAGAGAGAAAAGGAAAAGAAAGAAAGAAAAACGTTGCATCTATAAATGATATGAGTTGGAAAGACGAGATCCAGTTGTTCTACTGACTATTTAATAAGTTATAGGTATCACGCCTAATGCTTTCTTTATCGCACAGAACACGAGCTAAGTAGGGTATGGTTGAGTTTTTGTACTTACTAGTGCGAGCATATCGTTTTCTATATTGGTTTCTGGTTTTGCCTGAAGAGATACAAGAGGGAAGAGTTGTGAATGAAGAGGGTGTTGTGAGTTAGATTTAGCCCATTTTTCACATGAGTCCATGTGCCTGTCAACCAGAATATTAACAAGCTGGTCAAGTGGCACCCTGTGGCTTACCCTGCTGACAACCTTTAACATCCTGCGTAATAAGGTATAGTCTTTCTTCAGTAGCCAGCCCTGGAAAAACTAAGGGGGAACAATGGAGAATAATAGGCAGAATACGGGAGTTAACGAATTGTAGGAGTAAGGGTTGGGTCATACCAGAATGTCTTAACTTCTTGATGTAGGAGGTAGGACGGAATATTTTCTTAGAAATGATCATCAAGATATGAGACGACCAGGAAAGATCAGCAGATAGAATGACGCCTGGGTATTTAATTTCTGACTTGGTTTCCATTTCAGTGCCATCTATGTTGCACACCTCGTGAGGTGAGTGCTAACCAGTTTGGTTAGGTCATATTTGTGCCTAAAGGTGAAATTGACTGTTTGGCATTTGGAGGGGTTTAAGATTAGACTGTTTTCCTTGGACCATTGACTGACTTCTGATAAAAAGCCGTTCAGTTTAGTGCAGTCACTTTGACATTCAACAGCTAAAGATACAGTTAAGTCATCAGCATATTTGAAAAGAATAATGTAATTTGAAGATGGTAGGTGATGTAGAAAGAGAGAAAAGAGAAGTGGGGAAAGTACAGAACCTTGGGGGACACCAGCTTCAGTGAGCACAACAGAGGAGGATTTGCCTTTATATACTGTATACTGCATTCTGTTTGAAAAGTGGGAATGCAACCAGTTTGTGACCCAGGACTCAGTTTGTGTCATGGAGAGCTTATTTAGCAAGAGACATCTAGGTACAGAGTCGAAAGCAGAAGTGAGAAGTCGAGAAACGTGCAGCGGACGTATTTGGCACCTTTATCTAATGATGAGACGATACTGTTGTGTAAGACGGCTGCAGCGTCTAAAGTAATCCTACCCTGTTTGTAGACAAATTGTTTGGGGTCTTCAAAACTTTTAAGGGAGGGTTCTAGTTTAAGAAGTACTAGTTTTTCCATAAGCTTTAGAGACGGGGAAGTGATGGCAATGGGTCTGAACTTTACGTTCTTGCTATTTCCAGTTTTAGGGACAGGGACTACTTTAATGTGTTTCCATGGAACAGGTGCAACGTTTTCGGAGAAAGAAGCATTTAGGATGTTAGTTAGAGGAGAACACAAAGCATCAGCGCATTGTTCTAGAACATATGCAGGTATACCATCAGGGCCAAGATTACATGAGGGCTTAAAAGTTTTAAGACATTTTAAAACATCGGGGGTGTTAAAGTCTGGAAGTTATCAGCTACATGATAAGTAACGTTAGAAGTAGTCATAGTAGAAGAGCAGTAAAGGTTTGTCTAGGCCTTCGATGCTGCCTTCGACCGACATCGTCTTCCGTGATTTGTGTATTTGAAACGATTCTGCTCAGCTAAATAAGTGAATCAAGTGACAGCCCGCTTCAAATTTCTCTCATTGATAGTGGCTGCTGTTTGTTGTTGACTGTTGGATATCTTCTCACCTACATCTTCTACTCGGTAACTTTGAATTCTAGCTTTGCCAATAATACTTAAGAAAAGGCACAAACAGCGAAGAAAATTTTCTTTTCGACGATTCATTTTCATGAGCTGTACAATCGTAATTATAATTAAACACATAAGTTTTTGACCAATCAGATACTGGTAAACTTTGTCCTTGAAAATTCTGCTACATAGTGTGAGGTGTAAGAAGGGATGACTAATTGTAAGTTAGAAAGGAGACAGAAGTTGGCATGACCTAATAAGTGTGAGATAATGACTAATCAATAAGTTAGTGTAGAGTGGACAGGAACTAGTGGAAAGGTTATACAGTAGTTTTGTATAAGATCTGTGTGAAAAAGCAATGTTATTAATAAACAGTCATAGAGTAGTAATAAAATATGGATGGTGGGAATAGTAATAATAATAAAAGTATTAAGAACAGTAATAATAATAATAATGATAATAATAATAACAGTGAACTTACGTATTAAAAGAGAGGAGAAAAATTATAGTTAGAAATTTACTCTGGCCATGGTAGGGCTAGAGAATGTATGTATCGTTTTTGTATGCATAGGTCCGGTTTTATGTCACGAATAGCTAGTGCCTCGGCTATGTACAGATGTCGTATCCGGAGTCCTTTTGTACGATATTGAGGGACTCTGTGTACCACTGTGAAGCTTTCGTGTGGGGGTGCTCGATGCTCGATAAAATAACAACAAATATAATGAACATTTTGTGTGGTTGAGTTGTCTTACCTGAGTGATCAAGTGTTGGCGTTTTCGTTATCCCCTTAGACAACATCTTCAGCTCAAGCTCACATATGAAATGAGGTCGTTCAAATTCACCACGAATGATATAACTGTATCTCCTGACAAACTTGTCTTTAACAGCTGTTATTTGGGACCAATAAAGTTTGGTAATCATGAATGAGGAATCGCGTGATACAAAGAGATATTCACGGGGAGTGTTTGTTGAAGTTGAGTGAACATTTTCGAGAATATGTTTGGTCATGTGATTTCTTTCAAATCCGTTCACACCACATTGTACTCAAGCCCTATAGTTTTCCTAATCGGTTTTAGATGGAACTCATATTGAAACTGCAGCACTTTAATATCGAGCGAGTAGATATGGCATTTGTCTTTGTCCAATCAAATACCTTAATTGTCTATGAATTCACATCATCTGGAGCAATATTGCTGCGCGGAGTTTTAATTAGTATCCTTTTTGATAATATTTGCTGCACAGTATGCGTTATTTCATCCTAGCTTAATTTAGAGTCGCCCATTCTTTGTTAATAATCAGCGGAATTACAAATTCATGATCATCTGGTTTACAACACATTGTTTGTGTACTCAAGTTTTTGGATTTGAACGTTTGTTAATTCATCAGTTCACAGTCACAAATTCAGGTGACCTTATGGACAAACAGATATCAACTTTTTCTAATACGAACAGTAGCAGAAAAAGGTACCAAGTCGAAAAAAAATTAACTGATTCCTTAATATATGAATTAATTGGCATAATTTTTATGACTGTGTATGAGTTATAAAAATTCAGCAAACATTTATGTGTAATTGTTAATTTTGTCAATTAATACTGGACATTGGGTAATATTTGAGAAAACAGATTTTGTCTTATTTGAACATTCTGAAGCGATTGATTTTGACTTCGGATAAAAACCTGCTTTATTAGAACATGTTAATCTGTCACATACTAATTGCTGCATTGAATGTGGAGCATTATTAGGATACATTGTCTCAAAATGAATAATTTAATATGCGTTTTCAAGATTGAATTCGGAGTTTAAACAGTTTCAGCAAAGACTCATGTAACTGAGTGAAATAAATCAGTAATCCGTAAAAATCATTCTTAGCCAATTGTTTACAATCATTAATGGTCGAAAATTATGTATTTCGCTGTCAAACTGACACACAACATAAGGGGTTTGAAGGAATTAATTTAGGGTTGCCATTCATAAATGTGGCATTTTATCTAATCTATCTACTTATTTATATCTGACCCAGGTACTTAAAGCCCTAAATTTCCTTCGAATAGGTCTGAATTTATAAAAAATTAAAACAATTCATAACTGCAAATGTGAATAGCTTAGTGCACTTAGTCCCAAAGATATCGAAATATCCAGTGAAGAAAATTCTAGGAAGTTTAAGTTCTTCTCAGACCTTACCTTGCAAAATTTCGCATACATGCATACACTACAATAAAAAACTATCGTCTCATTGTGTTCTCATTTCCACTTACTGTATACATTCTTTTGCATAAGTGATTTTTGACTATGCAGTCGTATTAATAACTATAAGTGGGAGGGACTCAACTGACTTACACCTACGTACTTCTTTAGTATGAAATCGACTACTTTCTCAATAGAAAAACACTTCATTGTTTTGTCGTTGATTTTTTTTCAATTGATGAAATAGCAAAGCATTTTTTGCCACACAAAAATACTACATACTATTGCTCATTTGGAATTGTGTTGTTTTCTTCATTTACTAAATTCAGTCAAATAGTTTATTAGTCATTCATGTAAAACAGTTGAAAAAATTTTTTCATCTGTCTTTCTTTCAAAACTAGCCTATATAAACCCAAATCGCACATAAACACATTTTACGTGTTACGCTTTCTGCATTTTTATTTTTACTTCACATATATATATACATATATTTAAACGTGTATAAATTGCAGTTGAAAGTTTAATTCACAATTAAACCATATTAAAATGAGAAATAAAAATGTGTATAATGCCCAACGTGAAAGAGATTACATTGATGACTGTCTGCGTCATGTTGGCAGTAGACAACATTTATTTTATGAAACGCATATTTGTCCAGTATACCGCGTAAATGCAAATGCAGCTGAAGTATACTCTGAATCAAGAGCGCTTACACTACTGGAAAAATATCACCGTAAAAGGCAGTCCCACTGTACTGGGAGTTTATTAGAAGATCGTATTAGTTTTGAACGCAATAAATCATCTGGTAAAATACCATTTCGCCCATGGGTTTCGTATAAAGAAATTAAAGAGCTTTTCTTGAGCCGAACAAGACCACAGTTTTTTGTACTTTGTATAGATTCCATGTACAGTTCAAATAGATACTATGAAATATACAAATGCAAAATTTCCGAAACGTCACAAACTGTAGCGGAATATCTTAGGCGAGCTATGAACGATACGGATAAAGTGTTGCGGGATTTAACATCCATACGTCAAGTTGTTGTTGATGATATAGGTCGAGTTCGATCAGTGAGTAACTTCGAAGTTGAGGACAATCGTGCCACACTTCCAGTAGCAGAAAATTATCACCATGTTAATTCGACTTATGGATATAATACATCACCAATTACAATAACACCACTTAAACAAAGTTATACTCCTCAACTAGATGGTGATAACAGACGTCGACTTGTCGACGGTTTATTGGATGTAACATACCTAACTTACGACCCACATAAAGGCATTGTAACCAATAATCAAGGACCAGTCTATTTATACATGTGTCGACCAAGAAGTCAATCCGGTGTTCGGACAACTTCAAACTATTCAGACAGACGAAGCAGTTATGGTTATCACGATGAAAACCACCATATTGTTTACAGGTATTAAAATTTTCAATAGATTGCAAAAACAGATAATAAACCAACTCATAAAAGAGCAAACAGTACTTGTTTCTTATACATTTTTCATGTTTTTCTCATGTATTAACAGGACGAGTTTAGGATTTATCAATGCTGTTTCGCATATCTTAACTTTTACAAGTAATTTTATTTATGAAGTTACTTCAGAAATCCTTTCCTATAGAAATAAAACAATGTAGGTTTTCGTAGCAGGATTTCGTTTTCTTAGAAAACAGCTTTAATTTTTTTTTAATCTCACGTGCAGCTAACATTTCTGACTTTCTAATTTAGTGAACAGTATTTTCTAAGATATCATGGCACTGACGTTTTATTTATTGTCAGCGATTATTTGTATATAAGTCTGACAGTAAGCACAGGTCGGAAGCGTGACTGAAGTATTTGACAATTTCATTGTTTGATAAATAGTTATCTATCTTACCATTAATTATCATACTGAAGCACTGTGGAATTACAGACTGCTGAATTCTTAAATACTTTGCTTCTGTTTTTTTTGTCTTATTCTTCGTTTTATAGCTACAGAAGAGATGAAAAAACTAAAGAAGAATATTCTACCTATAACTATTAAAAAATGCAAGCCTAAATGATATAATTATTTAGTGTACCACAAAATACTACCAGGAAGACATAATATTTGTTACTTACACAGTGAGTATTTATGATTATTTTAGCTTAATATAAATATAAAACTTTCTGCTAACCAAAAGTGAATACTTTTCTGAAAACGGCCTCTTTATTTATTGCACTCCAATGGCTTCCTGCTTTTTGTGTAAATGCTGGCTAATCCCTGAGTCTCCGACTGTGACTGAATAAACACTATTCAACAAACACCCGTAGAATTATAGATTCCTCGCTTTATCAATCAGCTACTAAGCGTCATCCTCTTAAAGAAACGTCTTAGAATAAATAAATGAATCTGTTCGTCAACAGAACATTAATTTAACACATTCTCACTTTGTTTAATTAGTGTAAGTGTAGGACTTGGGCACTGTGATAGAATGTAATTCCATAAGTTCATTTTAATAATCACATAGTGATGTAGTCTCAACAACTGGATGACGTTTCCAGCATAAATTATTGTTCATAATTATATCAATTTTGTTTAGTTAGGCCAGATTTCTTTGCAAATCACTGTAAAACACATGAATATATTCTTCTTAGATATCTCGTCAGTTTATTATTTTTTAACCAAACGATTTAATCACAAATTTGAATGTCATCACTCACTTATTGTTACAGAACAGATAGTGTACTATTTACATCATTCGGCGGCTTAATTCTATGTAAATCTACTCATATTCCATAGGCCACCTGGGCAATAAAAACAGTGATAACTACATGTGCAAATGACCCGCTATAAACAAAACAAATAAATCAGCAGATCTTGTAAGTGTCTGACCGCAAGAGATTTTGTGTCACACATATGACAATATAACGCTTAGTCCTAATATCAGGTGAACTTCTTATCAATAAACAACATGAGAGATAGGCTGAAAGCTTACCTACTGAAAACGTTAAACAATGATGGAAAATAACTCTAACTAAATTGCCTGTAAACAGTTAAGTAGCATACTGTTGATGGTAAAAGGGAATATTTTAAGCTGATCTGAAATGAGCGGAAACTACTGTCGTTACTTATAAGTCTTATGAGATTTGTACTTGACTGTAATCGGGGCATCAATAAAACTGTGCCTTTTTGGAGACGAATGTTATCACCAAACAGGTAGACCATATATTATCTCCATCATGACTTTTGTTTAACTAAATTATTAGTAAAGAAGTTATGAACATTTAAAATAAATGTAAGCTATAGGATCATAGAAGTCTAAATGGTAGAGGGTAAAATTTCGTTTTAATTTTAGGTATATCAACGCCGTGGAGTACCTACTGCTCAATGAATTACTCAAAAAACTATCAAACACCATGATACACTAGTAATCATTCCTTCGTTGGCTAAGAATCCAATCACCTCTGTCTTTGAGCTTCTGAGACTTCATCGAAGAACGCTACTGCTTTTCAACACTGCAAAAGGAGTAACTGTTTTCACATTCGACTTAGTTTACCTCACTGTTTAGTAATTATCATTATAGCTTTGAAAAATCTTCTATCTGATAACAAGCAATCATACTATTACGATCAGATTAGAAGTAGGTAAGAAATTAATTGATTTCAAAGTAGTATTTATGAACGGTTGACACTGGGGTACAAATCATGTACTATGGTTTAGACGGTAATATAGTTCGAAATTATTTGAACATATCGCAAAAAAGTACTTCAAAAAACTCGTAATTGTTAAAATAATTATTAACAAAGATAATAGCAACCAAAATGTTTTGAAGTTGTGGGGATTTTATGGTGCAGAAAATCTTAATTTACAGTACGTGTATGGCTTTAAAAGAAAAGCCATTATAATTCAAGAGTATTGTACAATTTTCAAAGCTGAATCTTCTACCTCAACATCCGTAAACAAATAGTTGCAAAGTAACAGTAAACTAGTGCATCTTAGAGAAATTAAATATAACACGGAGGCGAATAAGTGACGCATACTGCTAACTTTCCCGAAACATGCATGCAGCGGATATTGTATTGTTATCAGTTCTTCGTAAATAAGTGGCAAATATACAGATATTCAGCTGCCATCAATTATCAGTTATCCTTCAAAAGATGTCTAGTTACAATTTTTTACAATGTTAAGACAGATAAATTCACCATTTAATAGGTGATACTTCAAAACTGACAAATATTCAGTCTTTTTTGATTATTTCAAACATCATGCTGTTACCGCAACGGTCATAGATCACCCAAAAAATCACAATAGAAAATTACAGAAATAACGTTATTAAATTAAGAGATATCAGATAAACAGCGTAAGAAGGCATCTTAGTGAAGTTAGTTCAAATAGCATCATCATTCATAGGAAGAACTGTGAACTATTACGTAAGTATGGTTCTATGATACCAGACAAATTTCATCTCAATCTTCAGATAAATTAATAGAAACTTATATTTTCAGTAATTCACCCTTAAAAAAAATATAGTATAACAATGTGTGAATCATTGTGTTTAGTTGAAACATAATAGAATTACGACTAGTTTATGGTATAAGGATGACAGATGAATAACAATTTAATAAACACCACTCTATGAAAAGAATGAAACCAGAATGGCCGTTTGGAATAACTCTAATAAACTAATCAAGTATAAGTCGGTTTTCAAGTTTGAGGCTAGAAAATAACTTTTAATTATATAGTAAACTTGTGAAAAATTAAGGTGACGTTCATGTTAAAAATGAATGTGAAGTTTATGGTGTTAGTCAAACTTTCCAGTTAATTCTAAGCGTTCCCTTACTCTTAGATCAGTATTCAATTAGACCAAATTGTGAATGGAAACAAACCATTGGAGTCATACTCTCTGGTATGTCATTCATAAGAAATAAATTAACTCTGAATAGCGTTCATATTGCCTATACTTCAGCAAGCATTTGTATCTATATCGATAGATTCAGTAACAAGCAATATCAGTTTATATTTTTTATACGTGAATATACATTTCATCCTTCTTCAACTGAATTCATTGCAAACAATTAAGGAGAATTTTTGAGATACCTAATGCCACACAATATTTTATTGAATTTCTAAAAACACTGTAAAAAATCAGAGTTAATCAAAGGTGTTTTCTAACATATGTAAATAAGTATCCATTAGCACTGAAGGTTAAGTACTTTTAAAATGACGTTTGAGAGTCAATAAATTCAAGTTTGAATAGATTTCACTTTTCCGACATAAGTTAATGAAAAGGAAGGATAAAAATGTTAAAATCGTTTGTTTTTAAATAAATAATAGCATTCGGATAAATCGTGATGGATATAATTTTGATTGGTTTTAAATACACTGCAAATATGCACAAAATGACAAAAGTTATTACACTAAGCTAGTAAAATTAGATAGGAATAATTCAAGGTTTTCGCCTATACTAAATTACCTTTTAAATACTATGGAAATTACTTGGAACATTTTAGCAGTAGATTAGAAGCTATTCAGGCACCCCAGTGTACCAGAGGTCACTTAAGTGTACACTTTATTGTCCTGGTTCTGAGTAATTATGATTTTGCACAGGAATCAAACCGTCTTCGTTAAAAAGTCAATGAACAATCACATCGTAGGTTGCGTATCTAATTATTATTAAGAAACCTGAGAATATCTGTAAGATGAACAATCTTGAACCTATTGTTTGAGATATTGTCATTCTGTTTTACCGGTGATTTTCTTCTAAATCACATATTCGTCTGATATTTTCTAAGATACATTAAAAATTATAACTTTATCTCAAATTCATACTCTCTATTTGGATTCAGTCGGCTGAAGACCTCATTATAAAACAACAAAATAATGTTATTTCTACAGCGGTCCCTGGTAGCAAAATCTAGGGTATGCGTTTTGTCCCACTTTGGAAAGGTCAGCTCAAATGATATGTGCATTAGTGGTGCAATGTAATCACACAAGCTTGCATAAATTGCCTATAGTTTTAAATGCCTATAACAAGCCACAAAATTTACGTTTCTGCAAAAGATATGAGGTTATATCAGTTGAGGGAAAAACGGAAAAATATAAAATCGATCAGTAACTATCATATTATAGTAACAAGTAATATTTTTTGCACAAAATTTAGCCGGTGTAATTTAACAGAGTGCGACAAAAAGCACCGGAGTTTCAAGCTAGCATAGGGTCTTAATGAAAGTGTGGTCAGGTACTAAAGAATCAGAGAATAAATGAAATATACATCTGTTTGATATCAGTAGGTAAATAAAAGTGACTGTATATCTTGTCTTCGATGCTCCTGTGACATCGCATGTAGTTTTCTTCACGATTGAATGTTATTTTGAAAATCGTAATAGTGATAAACACATGAGTATAAAACACTTGAGACCATGAATGATTAAAATATTTAAGAGGACAGCATAAAATATTGAATAAATAATAAACATATTCTCCTCACTCTTAAATTCCTTTTTATTACATTGCTTTATTCGACCTATCATTTCATAAACAATGAAACGGCATTAGAGTGTTAAAAACTCATTGCCCAAATAGATCACATTTTTCACATAACATTAGTTTTCTAATAAAGCCTTCTAGAAATATGAAAAGGTGTAAATGTCTTCAATTCTCATGAAAAAAACCCACTTCCATTTGCTAAACATCTACTTGTCAATTCAGTTTATGTGGAACAAGTAACGATGAAATAAGGAAAATCATTGAAGGTTGCAGAGTAAGACGAATCATAATTTAGACTGCTGTTGTTAGTATAATCAGATAAAAGAATTCCGAGATAGTTTAATTATCAGATCGTTTTTAGGAAAAGTATGGGACGGCCATCTCTTCAGCATGTTTAGCATGTTCCCTTATATATTTTTATATATATTCTTGAAAGCTGTTTTTCTTACCACTCTTATGACCCATATTAATAGCCTCTTACAGCAGATGAGGCTGGGTGTTCACCCTATGTGTTTATCAAGACGTTGGAGTTCAAAGATTTTTCCAAGTCATCTGAGCCAACGTTTTTGCATCCTACCGTTCAAGGTGAGATTACGCCTCCACAAACGTAAGCTGGAATGTGATATAACCAATTGTGCAATATTGATTTTTGTGGAATAGCGTACTTTTGGCTTTATCAGCAGTCACAAGCCGGGTTGCATAATAAGTTTTATGGATGACAGAGTTTAACCACTGTCCTAGAATCATATTAGTTTTTCTCCTTATGAAAGTAATCATACATGAACATTTTTATTGGGAATAAGGGCAAATGTATGCTTTGAACACAGGTTCAAAAAC